TGGAAGCCGGTGGTGGCAGTTGGGCTCTGAGGGTTTTTCCCTGGAGCTGTTTTGTTTGGCGTTTGTAGTTCTAAAAATAAAGTTAGTTTCTTTTTGACAAGTGGCTCCTGATTTGTGCCAAGCCAGACTTCGGCATTGTTCATGTCCACGGTCACCCTGAAGATGCTGGCCCACCTCCTCTCTGGTCACAGGACCATTGCCCGTGCCAGGTGCTTTATGCAAACGAGGCTCTACTTCATCCTGGGCACAGTGGAGTCCTTGCTGCAGGCTGTGATGTCTGGGGACTGCTACCTGGCCATCTGCCGCCCGCTGCACTATCCCACTCTCATGAATCCCCGGGTGTGCAGCTGGCTGGTGCTGTCCTGCTGCGTCACCAGCGTCTTGTTCCTCGGGGCGCTGTGTGCCTGGATGTTCTTCCTGCACTTCTGCGGTCCCCGCATCCTCAACCACTTCTTTTGTGACAGCACCCCCTTGCTGGAGCTGGTGTGTGATGACACCAGGATTCTGCAGCTGGTCAGCTTCCTGGTGGCCGTGTGCACCCCGGTCAGCACTCTGCTGGTGACGGTTTTGTCACACTGCTGCATCATTCGCACTGTTCTGCACCTGCCCGTATCTGGGGGCCGCAGCAAGGTCTTCTCTACCTGATCCTCCCACACGCTGGTGGTGTCGCTCAGCTACGGGAGCTGCACAATCATGTACCTGAAGCCCATGCAAACTGGGCACCTGACCCTCAACAAAAGAGTGGCTCTCTTCAACACCATAGTGTCACGCCTGCTGAATCCCTTCATCTACCGCTTCAGAAATGATCTGGTCCAGAAAGCCAGCAGGGATGTGCTGCTCAGGGGGAGAGTGCTTTCTTCTCAGATATTCAGAGGGAAAGCTTTCCAATGCTCTGCTGCTAAGCACGGCACAGTGGCACACACCTGTGATCCCAGTGGCTGGGGAGGCTGAGGCTGGAGGATTGCAAATTTGAGGCCAGCCTCAGTAACTTAGTGAGGCCATAAGCAATTTAGCAAGACATTGTCTCCAAAAGGAGGAGGAAGAGGAGGAGGAGCAGGAGGAGGAGAAGGAGGAGCAGGAGGAGGAGGAGGAGCTCTATATTGGTTTCATTTTATTTTTCAGTTAACATGAACACCATTTTACTAGAGTGAAGAAAAACATTAGTTCAAATATCTGCTGGGGGCTGGGAATGTGACTTAGGGCTCTCCTGGCATGAAGGTTCAAATCACTAAGCACAAAAAAGAAACAAATAGGGCTGGGGATGTGGCTCAAGCGGTAGTGCGCTCGCCTGGCACGCGTGTGACCCGGGTTTGATCCTCAGCACCACATACAAACAAAGATGTTGTGTCCGCCGAGAACTAAAAAATAAATATTAAAAAATTTTCTCTCTCTCTCTCTCCTCTCTCACTCTCTGTTTTTTTTTAAACAAACAAATAAATAAAATTATCAAAAATAAAGAAGGACAAGAAAGAAACAACAACAAAAAATTCTGCTGGTGCATCTGCTGTAATCCCACTGGCTTGGGAGGATGAGGCTGGGAGATCACAAGTTCGAAGCCAGCCTCAGCAAAACTGAGGTGCTAAGCAACTCAGTGAGGTCCTGTCTCAATAAAATACAAAATAGGCCTGGGGATGGGGCTCAGAGGTTGAATTCACCGAGTTCAATCTTCAGTACCACCCCCCAAAAAATATCCAATGCTGATAACTTTACAGTGGAGCAAATTGACAAACCCTTTCGTGTCCAGCTGATCAAGGTCAACAGTGACAGTCATGTTGACATGTGCCCTTGCCGTGGTGGGATGCAAATTTCCCTTTAACTCTGTCATCTTCTACCAGAATCCAGCGACCCCAGGATGATAATGAGAAAAACCTTAGACAAATTCCAGTAGAGGGAGATCCTATAGCCTAACCGACCAGTGATCCTCAAAGCTCTCAAGGTCATCAAAGATGAGGAAGTCTAGGCACTGTCACGAAGGAGAAGAGCCACAAGGGACATGCTACCTTCGTGGAGGTGGGTGGGTTCTGAAGCAGAATCCACACCAGTGGAACTCAGGAAATCTAGTGACCCCTGGACCAAATTTAGAAATGCTTCATGGATTGTAACAGACACGCCAAGCTGATATAAGATGTTAACATGGGGGAACTGTTTTGGGGATGTTTCTGTCAATTTTTTGAAGTCTTAAAAACAGTTAAATAAAAATGTGTAGTAACAGGTTGTGATAGGGCACACCCCTAATCGCAGCAAATCTGGAGGCTGAGGAAGGAGGATCATGAGTGTGAGTCCAACGTGGGCAAATCATCGAGGCTGTAAGCAACTTAATAGAATTCTGTTTAAAATTTAAAAATAGATAAATAAATAAGTAAAAGGGCTTGTATGTGGCTCAGCAGTTAAGCACCCCTGGGTTTAGTCCTGGTACCAAAAAAGAAAAAGAAAAGAGAATCTGTACACAGAAAAAGAGGCTAATTGTAGTTATTTGAGTATCCAGGAGAATGGAAGGTGGAATCTATTAGTGTTTTGCTTAGGAAGCAGCCTGTTGAGAGCAAACGGCAGGTCACTTATCATTGTGCACATTCCTTATTTCAGGGACTTTTCCCTCCCTGGCAACTAACTTGGCTTCTTCTGCACACTACACTGCTAGAACTTTTTCACATGATGGCAAATGGTTTTTTATGAGTTAATTATTGGATACATGGTATTTAATCTGCCTCCTCTTTAGGACCTTTCACAGTTGGAAATGAATGTATTCTGCAGGGAGTTGGTGTGGTCACAAGCCTGTAATCCCAGTGATTGGGGAGGCTGAGGATGTTGAGTTAGAGTCCAGCCTCAGCAATTATCAAGGCCCTGAGCGACTCAGCGAGAGCCTGTCTGTACATGAAAAATAAAAAGATTTGAGGATGTGGCTCAGTGATTAAGCACCTCTCAGTTCAATTCCCCAGGAGAGAGGGGGGGGAGGGGGAGGGGCGAAGGGCTATTATTCTGGGGTCTGAGAGTTTATCTCAGTGGTAGAATGCTTTCCTGGCGTGTGTAAGGCTCTGTGCTCCTTCTGCAGCCAATAATAACAATAATAATAATATCTTGATTAATCATCTCATAATTTATATATATATATATAAAATTTTTACTTGTCACTTAAAATTAATTCATTAAATTTAGAATAAAATACTGCTGTTTTGCTCATCTCTCCTCCTCATCAACATCATCATCTCTATTCCATCTCCTCCTCCTGCTCCTTCTCCTCCTCCTCCTCCTCCTCCTCCTGCTCCTTCTCCTCCTCCTCCTGCTCCTTCTCCTCCTCCTCATCTCTCTCCTTCTCCTACTCCTCCATCTCCGCCTCTTCTTCCTTCTTCCCCATCTCCTCTTCCTCCTGCTCCTGCTCCCTCTCCTCCTCCATCTCCTCTTCCTCCTCCTTTTCCTTCTTCATCTCCTCCTCCTTCTCTATATCCTCCTCCTCCACCTCAATCTCCTCCCCCATCTCAACCTGCTTCTCCCTCTCTTGCTCCTCCTCCTCTTCCTCCTCCTTCTACTCCTTCTCCACCTCCTCCCTCTCCTCCTCCTCCTCATCTGTCCTCCTCATCAACATTATCATCTCTTTTCTATCTCCTCCTCCTTCCTCCAACTTCTCTTCCTCATCCTACTCCGTCTTCTTTTCCTCCTGCTCATCTCTCTCCTCCTCCTCCATCTCCTCCTCTCCTCCTCTTCCTGCTCCTTCTCCCTCTCCTCTTCCTCCTCCTCCATCTTCTCCTTTATTTTCTCCTCCTTCTCTTCCTTCATCTTTTACTCCTTCTCCTTCTCCACCTCCATCTCCTCCTCCTGCATCTCCTCCTATTTCTCCTCCCTCTTCTCCTTCTCATCCTCCATCTCATCTTCCTCCTTCTCCTCCATCTCCTCCTCCTCTTCCTCCGGCTCCTTCTCCTCATCCTCATCTCTTTCCTCCATATCCTTCTCCCTCTCCTCCTACTGTTCATCATTTTTTCTCCTCCTCTTTCCCCTCCTTCTCTTCCTCCTCCTCCATCTCCTACTCTTTCATCTCCTCCCTCTACTCCTCCTCCTCCTTCTCCATCTCTTCCTCATCGTCGTCCTGCTTCTCCTTCTCCTCCTGCTCATTTCTCTCCTCCTTTTCCTCCTCCTCTTCCTGCTCCTCCTCTTCCTCCATCTCCTCCTCTTTCTTCTTTCTCCTTTTCCTCCTCTTCCATCTCCTCATTCTCCTCCTGTTCCTTCTACTCCTCCTCCAGCTCATCTCTCTCCTCCTTCTCCTCCTCCAACTCCCCCTCCTTCTCTTCCTCCTCCTCATTATCTCTCCTCCTCCTCCTTCCTCTCCTCATTTTCCTCTTTCATGTATCTCCTCCTCATGAACATTATCATCTCTCCTCCATCTCCTCCTATGCCTTATCCTAATGTCTCCTCCTCCTCCTGATCATCATCATCACCTCTCCTCCATCTCCTCCTCTCATCCTTTTCCTTCTCCTCCACCGCCTCCATCTCCTTTTCCTCCTCCTCCTACCCCTGCTTCTTCTCCCACCTCCTCCTCCTCATTCTCTTACTCCTCCTCCTCTTACTCCTCCTGTGCCTTCTCCATCTTCTCCATCTCCTCCTATTTCTCCTCCCTCTTCTCATCTCTTCTCCTCTTCCTCATCATCATCTCTCCATCTCCTCCTCCTCTGCCTCCTATATCTCCTCCTACTACTACTTCTCCCTCTCCACCTCCTCCTCATCGATCCTCCTCTGCATCATCATCATCTCTCCTCCATCTCCTCTTCCCACTCCTCCTCCTCCATTAACTCCTACTTCATCTCCTCCTCCTCCTCCCTCTCTCCTCATCTCTCCTCCTCCTCATCATCATCAACACCATCTTCTCTTCCTCCTCCCCCTCCACCTTCTTCTTCATCTCCTCTCCTGGTCTAACATCTCCTCTTCTGCCTCGTTCTCCTCCTCCTCTTCCATCTTCTTTTCCTCCTCCACCACCTCCTCCTCCCCCTCTGCCCTCTCCTCATTTTCCTCCTCCTCCTCATCTTCATCTCTTCTCCTCCTCCATCTTCTCCTTCTCCTCCTACATCATCTCCTCCTCCTCTTGCTCCTTCACCTCCTCCAAATATCTCACCTCTTCCTCCTGCTCCTTCTCCTTCTACTCCTCCTCCTGCTTCTACTTCTCCTTTTCCTCATCCTTCTCCTCCTCCTCCTTATCTCTCTCCTCTTCCTCCACCTCCTCCATCTGCTGATTCTCCTCCTCCTCCTTATCTCCTCCTGTTCCTCCTTTTCTCTTCTCCTCATCATATTCAACATCATCATCTCCATCTCCTCCTCATCCTCCTCCTCTTCTTTCTCTCCTCCTCCCACTACTTCTCCTTCTCCATCTCCGCTTCCTTGTCCTCTATCTTCTCCTCCTCCTCCTCCGTCTCTACCTCCTCCTCCGTCTCTTCCTCCTCCATCTCCTCTTTCTCTTCCATCTCCTCTTTCTCTTCCATCTCCTCTTTCTCTTCCATCTCCTCTTTCTTCTGCTCCTTCTCCTCCTCCTCATCTCTCCTCTTTTTCTTCTCCTCATCTCTCACTGTTCCTCATCTCTCCTCTTCCTCCTGAATTCTCCTCCTCCCCTTCATCATTATCTTCATCATCTGTACTCCTCTTCTTTTTTTTTTTTTTAAAGAGAGAGTGAGAGAGGGGAGAGAGAGTGAGAGAGAGAGAGAGAGAGAGAGAGAGAGAGAGAGAGAGAGAGAGAATTTTAATATTTATTTTTTAGTTCTCGGCGGACACAACATCTTTGTTGGTATGTGGTGCTGAGGATCGAACTCGGGCCGCACGCATGCCAGG